TTCCAAGCTGAATAAACATTTCCCATGATAAAGGCAGAAGAAAAGGAAATAAAACAAAGGGATGCGTTTCTAATGACAGATACTTGTGTGAATGCCAGACAGGCATTTACCTTTACCCTCACCAGTAAAGACATGAACACAAAGAGGGGTTTTTAATCTTCTTTCTCTTTAAAGTTTGTTTCACAGACTAGCTGGCTCCATGGGACACAAATAAGCAGTGGAAAGATACAATCCATGCATAGTAGTAACAGCACCTCTCCTCGAGGTTCAGAGCTTGCTCTGCCTCCAGCCCTGTGCACCCTCACTGCCACCTGGAAGCGCAAACTCCTCCTTGCGGAAGCTCTGCCTCTGTGGAAAGGCAAAGTCAGATAGACATCAAAGGAAAGATGTCCAGAAAGCTCTCATTTCCCTGTTAAATGTTACTGATGCTAATGTGCCTTCTGATTTCCATAACTCCTGATTTCAGGACACAGCTGTCCTCTCTGTGTAATTGCAATGACGCGTATCTAAACCAGCACCAAAGTGCAAATTCTTCCGTGGGAGGACGAAAGGAGCCTGATCAACTTCTAGGCAACATTACTTCTGTCCCTATGGATTACAAATACCCTCCTTGTCGTTAGCACCTAATTTACTGGGTTTATTTGATTTATTCCAGGAGAAATGGGAGCTTCCATCTTTCTCCTTTGTGAAGAAGAAAGTGAGAACATGTGTGTCCCGGTGCAGCTGAGCTCTCCCAGGGGTGGATGCTTTGCCCACACATCTGTGCCCTGTGACAGAGGCCCTTCTACTGCTGTCGAAGCAAGGTATGATTCCAGAGCTGGAGCCAAGCATGACAGTGCAAGCACTGAATTATAGATGTGCCTGGAGAAGAGGGGCAGGAAACGTCTGAACCTGACAACTCAGAAGCCATCTGCTGCCTCATGGAGTCCAGGGTATTTGACATAGAATTTGGCTGTGATCATCCCAGCTGGTTTGGACTGGCATGTGTGTGAATGTATTCTCCGTGACAAACCACAGGGAGACTGTGTATTAAGACTAAATTTGATTTTGTTTTAATGACTCAGGCATGATTATCACTTTGTCATTTGTCAAAGATCACAGTCTCTGAAGATGAAAGATGTTGTCAATTATATAGCAATATTTACCCAAACAGCTAAAAAGGAATAATCCTCCTAGCTCCAGGTTTACTGTGTAGAACAGCTACCTCGGCCAAGATGGTGCCACCTTTAAGAAACTCATTAATCATAGAATCCCAGCCTGGTTTGGGTTGGAAGGGACCTTAAAGCTCATCCAGTTCCAACCCCTGCACCTTCCACTAGAGCAGGTGGGAATTACGGGGATCTAACAAAACTAAAGGGTGCTAAATTTTAGACAGAAGGAGAATTAAACCTGGCCTGTAGAAGGTCAGAGCCTTGGGTGGCATGGTTTAGTGTGAGGTGTCCCTGCCCATGGCAGGCGGGTTGGAACTAGATCATCTTAAGGTCATTTCCAACCCTAACTATTCTATGATTCTAAGGTGTCCTACCAAGAAGAGCAGATTCCAGCACCATGTCTTCACAGAATAATCAGTCCACATGGAAGTCGTATTTATTTGGATGTGAGTTCTGGGAGAAGACACAACTTCTCCCCACCTCCTCTAAATGTATGTACAATTCTGCAAGTCACAGGAGAAAATATAAATGAGATGCTAAACAGAGGAAATACAGCTATGCAAAAGAAACTCCAAATTAAAATGAACAACACACAAGCAAGTGGCACTAAGCCACATGCATACAAAGCATGTACAAAACACTCCATAGGTCAGACCAATGGCCTGTTTCTCCACAGTAACCAGCACCGAGCAGAGTGGTGATGGTCCCAGCATGGCTTTAGCAAAGCCAAAGCAGTTGATGTCCCCAGGCACTGCTCTCTGACATGGCAATACACACACTTTGCAATGCCCAAAATCCAGCATAGAGCCAACTGCTAAATTACATCCAAAACCTGAGCTCCCTAAACACCAGGAGGCTGCAGAAGCTCTTTGTCTCTTAGCCTGAAGCTTTGCTTCACAGAGAAACTCCCCAGAACAGCTATCTTACAAGAGACTGATTCACTTCTCACTCTCTGCTTGAATGCGAAACAACTTTCAAGTGCAGACTTCTCTTCCAAGTACAAAGCAGCCTTAAAAAGGCCACTTATTTCCCTTGGTTCTCTTTAAAGATATGGAAGTTCTGCAGGATTTGTGTTCAGGCTAAATGCTTCTCAAAAATAAAGTAGGGAAGGAAGCAGAGAGGGGAAGAGAGCCCCCCACTCCTTACTCAGGAGCTCCTCAGGAGAGGAATTGCCTTGCAGGCAGTGGCAGCAGGGCTTCACCCTTCCTGGGGGCTTCTAGGGCTTGTCTGCCTGTGTAGTTGAGTTCTGAGTGTGTTCAGGAAACACTGCATTGCCTCAGCACCTGGGCTGTGAGCTGGGGCTCAAGCTGTGGCAGAAAGCCTTGAAAATGGTTTTGGGAGGGAGCTCTGAACTGGGACCTCTGCATCTGCTGTTCCCAGCCCCTGCTTCTCAGTCACAGCCTTAGACTAAAGCATGCTCGGGAAGCTATAGCTCTGATCCTCCAGAAAGTACCATTTTTGCTCCTATATCTACACAAGGACTGAGCAGCATTCAGGTGCTGAGTCTCTGTAGCCTTCCTAGCCCAGAAGAGGACCCCATGGCCTGACTGCAGGGTGATCAATACACCTTAGATGAACATCTCTAAGCACTTGTGAGCACAAAGGATATCCACACGTGGCATACGTACTGCATAAGCCAGGTCAAAACGTTAGCTATCGTACCATCTGCTTGCGAGTCTGTGTGTAATCTGCTTTAACTACTCCTTCTAGGCTGGGTGATTTCCTTTGGTTTTCTTTTATTTCCGACAATTACCAAGACTGCATGTTTCCTGGCCTGTCTTACAAATATATTTATCCTTCTGCTGAAGCAAGAGAGAAACCACAGGACAAGGAAAACCATAGTCTGTGAAGCTCTGTCCTCTCTTATTATCTAATACTCCTGGCAATAAACAATGATTTATCCATGTTACAATTATAAATCACTTCATAAATTACCTTAGGCACAACGTGTGGTTTCTGCTTTCTTTCTGGATGATGAAAACTCTGAATCAGAATGACAGCAAACAAACAGCTCCTAGAGACAACGCTGCAACACGCACACAATCGCTTGGAATTTGTAAGCACGCCAATGAATCCTGATGGTTGTCTGAACAGAGATTACCAACACCAGCAGGGCACAAGCAGTCAGAACCTCAGTGGTGTGTGGGTTCATTAAATACCATGAGGGGGGCAAAAAACCCCTTTTTCTCCATGGCATCTGAGATGATCACAGAAAATCAGGTCCTCTTTGCTCTGGCCATGCTGCAGCTGCACAGCCAGGCTGCTCACTGCCCTGCGGGGAATTGACTCGGGTGTGTTGTTGAACCTGATCTTCCTCAAAGCAGTGCTGAAGCCATGCATGAAGTTCCTCGAAACCTCCAGCCATTTATCCCCCTGACCAGGGGGTTCTGGACAGGCAGCATCCTCTGCAACATCTCTCCTACCCACAGCTCCCACGAGCCCACAGTGACATCCTCCGTCGGGATGCAGCAGCAGCGGGTACCAAGCCCTTTGTGGAGTGGAGGGGCTGGGGGACACTTGGCTCCCTGAGGAAGGGACGCACCGTGTCAGGTGGCTGCAGGCCTGATGCTGGGGGCCACCTAAGGCCATTGCAGTGGGAGGGCTTGGCAGGGTCCCTGCCCATGCTGGCTGAGAGGTGCTCTCACCTCCAGGCTCTGCAGGCTGCAAGTGATTCACCACGATTTAAAAGGACCCTTCCAGGCTCCTCTCAGCAGGATCAGCATCCGCTGTCAGGACAGTGGTGGTGGGTTTGAAGAGGAGTTCTGTGAGGCTGTAACAGTTCCTGATGTGAAAATAGCTTTTGGAGTAATCAGAAGGTGACAAACCCCCTGGGCTCTATCTTCATGCATGTTTCTGGGTTTGCACAATTTGCCTGCTGTGCTTTTTTGATCTCTGTTCTTCAAAGGCATTCACAACTTATCAGGCTTTCCCAGGAAGAACATTGCTTGGCCAGCATCTCCAGCCAGTGTCCTTCTCTGCTTCCCAGTGTCGCTGCTCTGCATGTCCCTGTGTCCCTCTCCAGAGGGAGTGACTGAGGGGGTGAGCTGACCCTATCCCTGGACATGAAGATGTTCCCAATGCTGACGTGTGGGGCAGACACTGCACACTGGGGGTTGCAGTGGTAGGTAACTTAGTCCTGGCATATCACCAGCTGCAGAAAGTCTTCAAACAAGAGGTATTCTCTTCAGCTATGAAAAGCTAAAGGAGAGGAAGGAGGAGGGAGCAATAATCATCTCCTGGAGCTGGGGGCTGCAGGCAAGGAGTTTGCAGACCGAGTGGCAGGGACACGTGGTAGAGTTGTGGGCTCCCAGCAGTGTTTCCTTGGGCAAAAGCATCACCCTCTGTGCTCTGCCTGCCCGAGAGCTCTCCTGGTTGATCTCTGATGAACAGACAAGTTGACCCTTGACTCGCGCTCCTCTCCACTCAGGCAGGAACCATGAGTGTTCCCCATGGCCTCTGTCTTGGGGGAATGCTTTGGGGAATGCAGGAATGTTCTTGTGAGGAATGCAAGGGAGAATTCAAGGATGCTCCCAGGCTGAGGGGGAATGAGGAATGTAGAGGTGTTCTAGGGGGGGGTGCAGGGATGTTCCTGAGTTGAGAGGGGAAGGAGAAATGCAGGGATGCTTGGTGGAGATTCAGGAATGCTCTGGGGGATGTGGGGTTGTTCTAGGGAGCTGCAGGAATGCTCAGGGGTGCTCTGAGGGATGCAGGGATGCTCTGGGGGATGAAGGGATGCTGAGAGCCGGAGTGCCGGTCCCATCGGCCGCAAGGCAGCGCGGGGCTGCAGCCCCCGGCGGGGCGGGAATGTGGGGTGGGCCGGGGCGGGGCGGTAGCCCCGCGGATAGGCGCGGAGCGGCGCGGGCCATGGAGAGCGGCGGGGCGCTGAACGGCTCCGCCACCGCCGCCGCCGGGCGCTTCACCGCCGCGGGCACGGCCGCGCTGGGAGCGCTGATGGCTCTGCTGATCGCGGTCATCGTGGCCGGTAACGCGCTGGTGATGCTGGCGTTCGTGGCGGACTCCAGCCTGCGCACCCAGAACAACTTCTTCCTCCTCAACCTGGCTATCTCGGATTTCCTAGTAGGTAAAGTGCCGTCCCCGGACCGGACCGCACCGGAGGAAACTTAGCGGCGGGGCCGCCTCCTGCCCTCGGGGTTCCCAGCTCCTGTCCCGGCCCCGATACCTTCCGCAGGGGTCCTTCCCGACGTCCCGGCAGGTCCCGTGGGGGGCGGTGTGCGGGGTTCGTGCGGGGCGGGGGAAGGAGACGGATTCCCGCATCCCGATGGGAAAGGACCGCTCCGGTTGCAGGTGCGTTCTGCATTCCCCTGTACGTGCCCTATGTGCTGACGGGGAGATGGATCTTCGGGAGGAGCCTCTGCAAACTCTGGCTGGTCGTTGATTACCTGCTCTGCACCTCTTCGGTCTTCAACATCGTGCTGATTAGCTATGACAGATTCCTCTCGGTGACAAGAGCGGTGAGTCCTGTCATGGCAGCTCCGGTGGGGGGAATAGCTCTCATCCTGCTTTATTCTCCAGACTCTCTGCAATAATTAAAAGCTCTTTGAATCCTCCAGAAATGATGAATGTTTCAGCCTGGTGATGGAAAGCAATAATTATCCACAAATACATAATTCAGCTGTGGTTTCAGATTAGTATTTGTGGCATAATTAAATCATTTAATGTTCAGACCCCATTGTGCAGGTGTTTGATCCTTTCCCTGATGACAGGGTAGCAGCATACAAGCCAGCCAGCGAGGTAAGCAGACCTACCACTAACTTGCAGAGACTTATTATCTCCAGGACAAATGACTGGATTGCAGCTGGGCTCCCAGCTTCTCCTTGGCTACCCAGGCAGTAGATTGCAGTACCAGCTTCAGCAGGGCACAGCCCTCAGCTCTTTGACTACGTGGTGAGATGAAAAAGCTCAGCCTTTCACAGGAGGTAGCGAGCAGTTCACAGGCAGACCAGATCCAGTGCTGTTTGCTTGCTCCCTGACTCCAGCTACAACACAGATTAGCTCCAATGCCCAGTGAGAGCCATAGGGAGATGCCTGCCTGGCCCAGGAGCTTGGTGCATGCCTCTCCTGGGAGGTACAGAGTGTACCTGGGGACACAAGCACGGGGTGCAGCAGAGCACTGGGCTCCAGCTAAGGAAGTACATTTCCACTGAGCAGATGCCACCTTTTGGAGCTGCAATATGAGGGTTCTGAGTCTTCCCTGCAGGAGTGTGGTTTATCTAGCAATTGCTCCTGTCGCCTATGGCATATGAATTGGTTAGACTGCTGGGATATTGCCTAGCAACTTTACCAGGAATGCTAACAGTTCATTTGTGAAGAGCCTCAACCAGCTGAGGTGTGTGACCAGAGTTAAGAAAAGGTTTCCCCCATTGCAGGTCACCTACAGAGCCCAGCAAGGCAACACCAAGCAGGCAGTTCTGAAGATGGTGATGGTGTGGGTATTGGCGTTCCTGCTTTATGGACCTGCCATTATCAGCTGGGAGTACATCTCAGGCCGGAGCACCATACCCACTGGCCAGTGCTACGCTGAGTTTTTCTACAACTGGTATTTTCTCATGACAGCCTCCACGCTGGAGTTTTTCACCCCCTTCATCAGTGTGATGTTTTTCAACCTGAGCATTTACCTGAACATACAGAAACGCACCAAACTACGCCTAGATATTTTCCACGAGGTGCACAACCAATCCTTCACCGAGGAGATGGAAACGAGCGCAGAAGCAAAGCTTTCTTTGAAATGCTGTAAGTGGGAGCAGAAGGAGCCAGCTGAAACCCTCGACCCCTCCAAGAGCAAAGCCAAAGCAGCAGCCTCCCCTACCAGCCTGGGTGCCAAAGCCCTGCTGTCAACAAGCTCTGAGAGCGCTGGGAAACCCAAGTGTTGCAACAAGAAGAGCTGTAAAAGCTCAGCATCCACTCTGTCCTTAGAGAAAGGGATGAAGGTCGTGTCCCAGAGCATGACCCAACGCTTCAGGCTCTCTAGAGACAAGAAGGTGGCTAAATCACTGGCAATCATAGTGGGCATTTTTGGGATATGCTGGGCACCGTACACTCTCCTGATGATCATCCGGGCCGGCTGCCACGGCCACTGCATCTCTGACATCTGGTACGAGACATCCTTCTGGCTGCTGTGGATCAACTCGGCCGTCAACCCCGTCCTGTACCCGCTCTGCCACTACAGCTTCAGGAGGGCTTTTGTTAAACTCCTTGACCACGTCAAGCGTTGACCTTCGACCCCTGAACCTTGACCTATGACCATTGACAATTTGCGCATTGCCAGTTAAACATTTACCTTTGACCTATCACCTTTTGACCCCAAACTTTGACCTGACGTTTGACCATTAAAATGCCGACTTCAGACCCTGACTTTTCGCCCTTCAATCGCTAGGTGTTGACCTTTGACCCACAACCTTTTATCCTATGATCATTGAACCCTAGCTTTTGCTCTTTGACCCCCTGACTTTTTGACCCTTGCCCATGAAACGCTGACCTTTGATTCCTGACCGCCAAAACTCTGACCCCTGCACTTTGACCTATAGCCCCTTTGACTCCTGAACTTTGACCTTTCACCACTGATCATTAAATGTTGAGTCTTTGACCTTTTAGCCCTGAAACTCTATGCCTTAACTTTGACCTTTGACCCTTCATCACCAAATGGTGACCTTTGGCTCCTGAATTTTGACCTTTGACCTCCAAACCTTGACTGTTGCCCAGTAAACGCTGACCTGTGACCTATGAACTTTAGGCTGTAACCTTTTGACCCCTGAACTTTGACATTAGCTGCAGGCACTGAAATCTCTGTCCTCCACTTACAGATGCCACAGAAGAGTTCTGCTGCCACCTAGTCAGCCAGAACCGCGCCAGCATCTGGCTAACATAAAGACACAATCTGCGACATAAAAGCTATCAAACAGAAGCATGTAACCTAAACCTCCTGGACTACAGTCTACCTGTTTGCAGACCTGACTTTTTCCCTGTAAATGGGAGGGTTTTTTCCTTGCACTTTTGATATCACACGTATGTGATGATACAGAAAGAGAAGAATGAACCTCAGAAAGAAAACACTAATTTATCATTATTGCTACAGCAGCTATAGCTGTCATCTAGATCCCTGTGCATGTGGTGCAATGGATGTCCCTTCCGCTCCCCAAGAAGGGCCCAATCTCTGCCCTAAGGAGTTTACAGCCACTCAGAGGCATCAAGCATCCCGAAGCACCCTGCTGGCATTCCCTCCTTCCAAACTGATCTGATTTCTTTGTGTCCAGCCACACATCGACCAGTGCTCCCCAGCACATGGGGAGCTGTGCAGCAGGAGCAAGCCCAGCCTCTGTCCCCACAGGAGCCCCGAGGAAGAGGGCTGCTGCACCTACATTAAAGGTGCCAGCAGGTTATCAGCTTCTCCAGAGTCTCCTTCATGATCTCCCAAAGACATTTCAAAATCCCTTCTGCAGGATCCTAAAAATGCTCTCTTGGCAATGTGGTACCGAGGGAAGTGAATCTTGTGCTCCTTTTCAGTTAGTTTCAGACCTCACCGTTTTAGCAAGTTCCAGAACTCCTGCATGCTTCCTTTTAAAACACATCATTTGAACAGAGACCTGGTTGAGCTGAGCCAGGCAACACAGGCATCAATTTCTTTATTTTTAACACTTTAAAAGCAGTCAACTAATTCCACAGGCAGAGCACCACATTCCAGACCCCAGTGCTTTAGCCTCAGTCTTAACAGAAAGTCTTGTGTGTTTTATCTCTGCTTCCTACCTCATGCTTCATCACATTTGCCTATTTATCCTGTAACCTCTTTGGGAACAGAGGTTTTATGACCCTAAAGCAAAAGACTTCAACCACCCATCCCTGTTGGTACTGCTCAGTGACATAGTCATACAAATACATAATTATTTGCCATAGAAAATCCTCATATGTAACAGTACCATACAGGAAGCTCAAGATCTTAAGCCTGAAAACCACACTTACAAATGGAAACCCAAATGCTGTAAAGTAGCACCCAAAAGCTTATGGTGTCGTGACCGCCATTTACACTTCACTGTTGTAAGCAAACTGCTTTTTGGCTGCTGCTAGGAATAAAAGAAAATGCTATCCAGCTTTCTCCCAGTGATATTTGTTGAGTATCGATCAGTATTGTCACCCGAAGTCGGGTTTAAAAGATGTTTTGTGTATGTGACATTTCAGTCTTGTGACACGTTCAGTCAGACCCTTATATATGGGTTAAAATATATCCTTTGAAGTGTAAGTGTACCAAGACTTGGCAGTCTGTACTGTTAAGCCTGCTTGTACCTTTCCTTGTGTCTTCTACCTTCCGAAAACTCCAATAAAGTATTTTTATACAGTCTGTCAAATATTTTATGGTAAACAGAGTGGAAATGATACAATCCCACTGAAGGCAAAACATCCATGGATTTGCCTGAGGAAACAGTTAAAGCCTATACTTTTTGCTGAAAAATAGCTCCTGAAACAGCTGAGTTCTCAGACCTCTGATGAGCAGATTCCTGACAGCTCTAAGGGAGTGATGAGTGCACAGCACTTAAACCTTTCCACCTTTTGTGCTTTACCAGAGCATGTTGCATGCAACTTAGATCTGGAAAGGCTACACCAACACCGACTCTTCCTGTGACTTACAAAATCCACTGACCTGCTGTCCTGGGTTCAGCAGTAACAGTCATTTTTCTCCTTCTTGGTAGTTGGTGCAGTGCAGTGTTTTGACTTTCGGCCTGGGAACAGAGCTGATAACAAGGATGTTTTGGTTTGGTCAAGGACTTTGTGAGCCTCATGCTCTGCCAGGGAAGAGGGGAAGCTGGGAGGAGGCAGACAGGACACCTGACCCAAGCTAGCCAAATAGGTATTCCATACCACAGCACATCATGCCCAGGATGTAACTGAGAGTTACCCGGAAGGGCTGGGAGTGCAGGGCTGGAGGAGGCAATGGTCAGAGCTTGGTCGGGCTGGGGGGGGGTGTGTTATTGGTCAGCTGGTGGTGAGATGTTGTATTCTCTTCCCTTGTTAGTTCCTTTATCATTGTTATTACTGGTGGTAGCAGTAGTGATTTGTGTTATACCTTAGTTACTAAACTGTTCTTATCTCAACCCGTGGGAGTTGGATTCGTTTCGATTCTCCTCTCTGTCCCTCCAGGAGAAGGGCGGGGAGTGAGTGAATGAGCCCTCTGCCTGGTTTTAAATGACGACACCTGCCTACAAATGACAAAGTCATAATGTGAACAAGGTCCCAGTTTCCAGCTGTGGTTCTCTTCACTTGGTCATAAAGTAGGACCAGATAGTTCAGCCTGATGCAAAGGAAAGCTACTGACTGTGTTCCACCTTAACTAAAAGGTAGAGAAATTGTTGTCTTTCTATTTTATTTCTTTTTTAATCTGGTATTAAACAATGGTCCCCTACTTCATGTTCTAGAAAAACAATTTTGTTTTCTTCTTTTAACGACTCTCCTGTTTGACCTTTGCTAGATCAATGGAAGGTGTTTGAAATACAGTAGAGGCCAAAGAAGTGTAAAAATGATAGTGAATTGGTTGCAAAATAGGCTCCATTTCATATGTGGTCTTCCATCATTCAAAGAGCCAGCTTTCTCCAGTGGGAGATTTTATCAGCTTCTGAAGTCATACCCACAACACCTGCTCCTGTAACCACAGTCTTTTGCCCCTAATGACACAAAAGCCTGTTTCTTGTGCCTTAAGAGCACATATCCCTTTGACATTTCTGCTCACCAGTCCTCAGCATGCTTGCAAATAAATGTTGGTTGCTACTCATGGCCACCAGTATTATGATGCTACAGGTAACTACCGAAAAGGCAGAACAGGTAACAGTTGTTTAACAAAGCTGGATAGGATTGCAGGATAATGCAAGGGGGATTCCCTCCCTTCTCCCCTTCTGGGGAGATTGTTTTCTCACATAAATACCCCAAAACATAACCAAAAGCCCAGGAATCTCATTAGCACAGACACTTCTGCTACTTAGAGAGACAGAAAACTAAACAGGAAAGATAAATGTTCATCTAAGGAAATTCTTGCTGCTTGCTGTGGTTACCAGATGAATCTCTGACAGACCAGACCTGAGAATACCTTCCAGTCCCCAGGTTTGTTAGTTCTGATTAAACAAATGAATGAACAAAGTATTTATCAGTCTTTCCTATACAAGACATTTGCCTGAGCAGGGACTGGTAATTGGGCTTAACAGGAGAATAAACCAGGAAGATGCAGAAGGGGTGGTTTGGGTTTTCTTAGTTCCTCCACATTCCAGTACCTGTCAAGAACACAATGACATTACTGCACAAGAAGACCAGAGCCAAGCACAAGGGACCATGTACCAAGTTATTTTAGTAGGCTTTTTCCCCCCCCTCTTTCTATAGAAAGATTCTTATAGAATCATCAAATCAGTTACGTTGGAAATGATCCTTAAGATCATCAAGTCCAACCTTTGCAAAGCACATTAACATTCCTGCCTCCAGAACTGGTTTTCCTGCACATGATGGGCTGAGCAAGCAGATGCTTAAAAAAGGAGTTTCAACTGTTTGAACCCTGAACATGCCTTTTTTCCAGTAGCCTGAGCCTCCCATCTCAAATTCTTAGCTTATGATGAAGCATTTACGTACTGAAAGCAAACAACAGGTTTTCCCCTACATCCATTAGCAGTAACTTTATTCAAAAGTGGTAAGACCAGCTTTGAATGTCAAGGTGACAAGGCAAGTACACAGACTAGAAATTCCTTTCTTTTACATGTTCACACAGTCAATAAGCTGAAGTTGGAAGCAAAATACCCAGTTTTCAGAGCCTCATAACATTCATAATATTCACAGAGAGATGCTGGAGGCTGGTTTTGCTTTCAGTGATGCATAAGACCAGGCTGTACCTGTACTGATGTTCACATGCCATCCACACAAGCACCATGCTTCCCTAGAGTCCCAGTAGTGACAGCAATATATTTCTGTATAATTTAAAGTCCTAATGGTACTTGCCTCTGAGCTTTCAGAATGTGCTTTCGGTCTTAAAGTCCTTTCCCAAAGAGTGAAGAAATGGATACGTGAGCTTTTTACACAGTATTTTTATGGTCTCTGACCTCCATATGGGCAGAATTACCTCAACTTGCCTGAAAGCAATTTTATTCATCGGAGCTTTTGCAGGGAACATACTTCTATTCCTTCCTGAAATAGGAGCTTTTGCCTTGCCAAATAAAGAAGAAAAATAACTACTTATGCCTGGACATGAGGTCAGGCCAGAGCCTGGGTTTCATACTGAAAATGTTATGAGCTGGTTTGAAGTTTCAGAGTAGTTGATGACTAATTCAAATATGCTTAGAAGACTATTTGAATTCCACTGATTTTTAGTGTTCAGAATAT